ACAACGCCGATGTAACGATTCCCGTATTTTCTCTTCTGGCGTTATTCTCCCCGCCACCCGCCACCCATCAGCTCCTCGGAGAACGTGGCCTCTGGCAAGCGGAGAGCATTGCATACATACATACATACACACATACATACACATATACACATATTTATCAAGAGCGAGAGCATAATCACAACCGGCTAGCAAACCTCCCAAGGTCACATTATTTTCGTTGCGTTCGCCTATTGAGTAAGTAAGTAAGTAAGGAGGAGGAAAAAATGATATCGTGATAGTTTGTCCGAGTACAAACAGGTACAAGTAGGCACAAGTACAAGCCCAAGCTCCAGGGTTGGAGATAGCGCAGGGAGGGGGGAGGACAAGTACTACTAAGTGGTGGCCGTGAGTGCGGTCGGTACCACTCGACCTCGCCGAAACCTTCCGATCCGAAAGAGAAGGAAGGAGAGGAGGACGAGGAGGCGATTGCTGCTACTGCTGCCATATATAGATGGATAGATAGACAGCCCTTTCATTTTCTAGCGGTGTCTCATACACAAGTCAAAGATTGAGATCCCCGTCGTCGTCGTCGTCGTCCTCGTCGGCTGCGAATTACAGCTAGCTGGTATAGCCAGCTCGCTATGCAATCCACACGCGATCATCGCGAGAGGTAGAAAGAAAATGCACGGTCCAAAGGTAAACAAACAAGCGGGGGGCTGACCCTGCTCGGGCTCGGAATCCGGAGACGAAGTAGATGGCCAGAAATACGGAGTAAAATAAATCAAGCACCTCGGCCCAGGAAGGGGTTCAGATGAGCTTGTCTGACTGGCTGGCTGGCTGGCTGGCTGGCGCCTTCTACTTACCCCGGATCCAATTAATAACCTTGCACTACTTACTTACTACCACTACTACTACTACTACTACTACTACTACTACTACTACTACCACCTACCTACCCCAGAGCCCTCTCTCACGGAGTTCCCACTAGCACGCTTCCAGTGCCCGGTCCCGAAAAGGAGGATCTCTCGATCAGCCAGTTCGACCTCTGAATGTCCCATCTTTCGTATTGTCCATCCACTTGCGCCACGGACGGCACGCACATGCGTTACGTGTGGTTACGAATTGGGCTGCGGTGAATTTATGATGGGTTAGTGAGATGAGATGCGATGAAATGAAATGAAATGCAACAAATGGGCAGGACAGGGTAACATGGAATCCCGTTCCTGCATTCTCGTGCGGAGGAAAGCAAAGCCGAACCAGCTCGCGAAACGAGCAATTTTCCGGTTCTGTCACCTCAATCGACAACCCTCGAGGAGGGCGGAGGATCACGCTGACGGTGGATAAATCTCGGAGAGGAGAACGAAGAGAGCAACTTGAGGGCTAATGGCCGAGATGAGGAGGAGGAGGAGGAGGCAGCGTTTCTCTTCTCCGCACATATAGCGCGGGCATGCGGCTGGCAGCTTTCCGCTGTTGCAGACAGTATATTCCCTCCGATTGGCACCTATCACGGAGGACAGAGACGTATTCGTACGACGCTCATCTGGTTCCTCGGACGCGAGCCTAGGTCAGTGAAGCCTGCCACGGGCAAAAGGGGAGGGAGGGGGAGGCGTGGATGATGGTTGGCGGCCGCTTGACCTCGAGGAAGCCAGTGCTTGTTCGTCTCTTCTCTTCTATTTGTCCATAGATGAAGTATATATAGATCCCGCCGTCGTCACCACCGTTCATTCATTCATCTACTCTTCTCTTTCTCTCTCCTCTATCAAGAAGAAGAAGAAGAAGAAGAAGAAGACGAAGAGGAAGAACAAGTCTCGCATCAGAAATCGCCAACACTCGTTTACGGCAATCCGATCGATCCGCACACACCCACCTCAATCCCTCCTCCCACAATGAAGACGTACCCAGCCTCTGCAATCGCAGCCCTGCTGCTCGCCTTCACTTGTCGTCCAGCCATGGCCGCGATCCCCTCGTGCGCCCTACCGTGCATCGCCGACGCGATAGCATCGTCCACCACCTGCGGCGCGACCGATCTCAAGTGCCAATGCACCGATGCCAACAAGGCCGCCATCCAGGGCGCGTCCACCACCTGCGTGGTTGGCGCCTGTGGCGCCACGGCACTGGGTAAGCCGCCGGCCTCTCCTCCTCTCCCCCTCCCCTTCCATTCCAGCCAGTCACGGGTTGACTAACGCCTGTTCGAACAAAAACCCAGACGTCCTCGCCGCAGCCAACGCCGACTGCGCCGCGATCGACGCCTCCACGACGGTAGCCACCTCGACCTCGACCTCGACCACGATCGAATCAACGGCGACTATCACTACCTCGGAGTCTTCCACCGCATCTCCTTCCTCGTCTCCCCCCCTTGCAACAGTCTCAACCACCTCAACCTCAACCTCAACCTCCCTCACCATCATCACTACCACGACCTCCTCCAGGAGCAGCAGCAGCAGCAGCGTCGTCGTCACCACAGCCCCCAGCTCAACCGCCGCATCAGAGGTCCC